ACAGTTCATTAAAGATGCTTAAATAATAATAATAATAAAGATATAGTAGCAAATAGAATATCATTTAAAATTAGGAAAATGCCACAAAAATTCAGGATCATTCAAACCTAGATGGCCAGCGGGGTAATGATAACGTTTGAACTAACTTCTTTTAGATGCACATATTAGGCTTGTTTACGGAGACTCTGGCGTAGACGAGATGTTCGACTATCAACCAAAGGGCGGGTGTACTGCTCATCAGTCCGCTCCGTCCTCCTTTATGGCCAGCTGTGAGACCTGGCCACTGAGAGTGGAAGACATGAAAAGGCTAGCTGTCTTTGATCATAGGTGCCTGCGTTCTACTTCCCGTGTAAAGTGGCATAATAAGGTGAGCAAAATTGAAGTTAGGCGTCGAGTTCTAGGTAAACAGGGGAAATCAATCGACGAAGTCGTGAAGTTACAAAGACTTAGATGGTTAGGACATGTGTTACGTATGCCAAAACATCGCCTCCCTCGACGAGCAATGTTAGCGGATATAGGGTCAGGCTGGAAAAAAGCTAGCGGAGGTCAAAGAAAAACATGGCCAAACCAGTCAATGAAATCTACAACAGTTGGTCTAAGCCACGTAGGAAGATGCAGACTTCCTGGTTGGGGTCCTCGGGACGGTAAAAATCTATGGTTGGAAACAATTGGTGACATGGCTCGAAATCGTTCTCAGTGGCGCAGATGCATCCACTCCTTGTGACTTATGATCTCCAATGAAACTGTTTTGTTCTTCATTTACTACTCCTTTGTCTCACACCTCTGCTCACTGTTTCTATTATGCTTTTCTTGTACTTTCTTCTCTTGCTTCGCGTGCTACACGGAGTGTGGCGACTTGAACTTCCGCACATTTGTGTAAAGTTCTATGTCGAAAACAGACAGACAGACAGACAATCATCACATTTAAACAGGTCAAGTAGTCAGTCCATGGTAGGCGAAGCTTGAAGTCTATTGCTTTTTGTACACACACAGTTTAGGCTGTATGTGATTAATCCAATAAAGTGCTTCTATCACCTTCAATAACTAACCTTGAATTAGAGTTATGTCATGAAATAATTGTGAAACAGTCATTAATATTGATTTTGTGACCTGAAAAATTAATAAATGCTTTGCATTGGATGATGATGGATTTCTATTCAGATTAATCGCATTGGGATTTTCGATATGATTTAGTTGCCATTTTGGAACATGTTCTTTTCGACGACCACATTGGAACATTCTGTTGGTTCTACCTATATAGGTGTCACCGCAACAACAGCAGATGAACTTGTGGATACAGTTTGAAGTAGAGTCCACAGAATTTCATCCTTTAATCGTAGGTACAGGGATCGAAAATGTTCGGCAAATGAGAAAAAGAGATGCGGTGGCGTAGAATGTGCGTTTCATGGTTGACCGAAGTCTTTGAGCTAGCTGTCAACTGCATAATCTGGTCACCCTTAAATGGTAGGTTGTTAATAAAGATAGCTTTCTTTGGTACAGAAGCTGTCTTTTTCTAGATGTGGTCTATCCTTACTGTGACAAGTGTGTGTGTGTGTGTGCACAAAAAAAAAGACCAATAGACTTCAATTAGTGTCGCCTACCATGGACTGACTACTTGACCTATTTAAATATGATGATTGGTCATTAGTATAACTGAGTCATGAACTTTATTTTATTTTATTATTGTTAACCATGTCGCTAGCTGTAAAGCGGTTGTAAAGAAACTATGAAATGACGATATCATCTAGCGAAATTTGTCTTCTAAATGCTTTATTCAAAACAATATTAGTGGGTTTTTTTTAAATAATTTCGATTTCTAAAGTAAGATCACAATGGAATTACCACAGTTCATTAAAGATGCTTAAATAATAATAATAATAAAGATATAGTAGCAAATAGAATATCATTTAAAATTAGGAAAATGCCACAAAAATTCAGGATCATTCAAACCTAGATGGCCAGCGGGGTAATGATAACGTTTGAACTAACTTCTTTTAGATGCACATATTAGGCTTGTTTACGGAGACTCTGGCGTAGACGAGATGTTCGACTATCAACCAAAGGGCGGGTGTACTGCTCATCAGTCCGCTCCGTCCTCCTTTATGGCCAGCTGTGAGACCTGGCCACTGAGAGTGGAAGACATGAAAAGGCTAGCTGTCTTTGATCATAGGTGCCTGCGTTCTACTTCCCGTGTAAAGTGGCATAATAAGGTGAGCAAAATTGAAGTTAGGCGTCGAGTTCTAGGTAAACAGGGGAAATCAATCGACGAAGTCGTGAAGTTACAAAGACTTAGATGGTTAGGACATGTGTTACGTATGCCAAAACATCGCCTCCCTCGACGAGCAATGTTAGCGGATATAGGGTCAGGCTGGAAAAAAGCTAGCGGAGGTCAAAGAAAAACATGGCCAAACCAGTCAATGAAATCTACAACAGTTGGTCTAAGCCACGTAGGAAGATGCAGACTTCCGCTGGTTGGGGTCCTCGGGACGGTAAAAATCTATGGTTGGAAACAATTGGTGACATGGCTCGAAATCGTTCTCAGTGGTTGGCGCAGATGCATCCACTCCTTGTGACTTATGATCTCCAATGAAACTGTTTTGTTCTTCATTGCTACTATTCCTTTGTCTCACACCTCTGCTCACTGTTTCTATTATGCTTTTCTTGTACTTTCTTCTCTTGCTTCGCGTGCTACACGGAGTGTGGCGACTTGAACTTCCGCATATTTGTGCAAAGTTCTATGTAGAAAACAGACAGACATATAGAGAACAGAAAGATTGAGAGAGCGAAGAAATATTTACTTCTCAAGTATTGGTTTGTAGGGATTTCGTTGATTGCTTACAGGATTTCATCATCAGCTGACATCAGTTAGAGAACCACTGGAAAACCTGGGAGTAGTGGACAGCTGTTTCGTCACCCTAGTTTGAGGTTCTTCGGCAGTACGCACCCACCGAGATTCAGGAGACTATTAAACAGTAATAGTCGACTGATAAGTCACATATCCCCTATCGGATATAATTTTTTCAAAAACCAAATGTGTATATATTTATACGATTGTACAGCTTGATAGCAAATTCGTTGAAAAGTCTTTTCACCGAATCACTTGTTTTGATTTCTGTGTGTCCCAATGAGAATTTTCCATGAAGCATATAATGATTGTTCCTCAAAGACGTAATCAGACGTGTCACGTGTCCACTCCTCAGTCTTTACGATGACTGGATTCTATCACTCATGTTTTTAATATGGTCTCCAAGACGTTTAATTCTTAGTGTCATTTGATTTCAAATTGATTTTGATGTGGTTGGATAAAATCAACGGGAATCTCTATGATCACTGGGTGCAGTGTTTACTGGCAACCATCAGCAAGGCGTATCTATAACCTCTAAGGAATAGATGTACCGCATGTGAGATGAGAACTAGCGTCACCTGAAGCTACACTAAAGGCATCACCCCTAGCTATCCGGGTTCACAATGACCTCCTCTAGGACTGTAATAGACGTATACATTAGTCATCTACTTGAGAAGGAACGGTCCGTGCCATGTGTCTGATTTATGGTATTGATGAATTAACAAATACACCTTAGAAATCAGAAAGATTGAGCGAGTGAAGAAATATTTACTTTTCAATTAGATCCTCATCTCACTCTGGCTCTACTCTAATATATTCTGTAAAGCATTTTTATTACAATACACAACAGTTTACCAATCAGCTAGTGGCACTGATATCTTTCTTAACAATAATTAGTCAGTGTCAACATGTCAAGGCGACGGGTGATAATTAACGAAGAAAATCAATACACACATTTAAAAGGTAGAACTGGTTAGAATAAATTAATTTTACTAGGATAACACGTAATTAAAGGTAAAGTGGTAAAAATAAATAAAAAATGAAATAATTTGGACAATTATAATTTTTATAATTTTAAAGGTTTAGAGAGTGAGGGGCGAATTAGTCCGGTGTATACATTCATGTAACGATGTCCAAGGAAGGTAAGGAAAGTGGCTGTACAAATTTCTTCTGAACACACACAGGTTTGGCTTCTTCTTCAGGTGGATTCCTATTGCTTCAGCTAGCTGTACGTAGAAGACGAACTCGTAGAGCAAAATTGAGATTAGTAGGAATGCGATAAATAATTTTAAATGCTGTATTAATATCAGCCTTATGCTCACTATCTACAAGGTGTGCTACAACAGAGCTACGAATAGATCTTGTTTGTCCTTTGTTTAACCATGCTGCAGGATGGATGATGTTCGGAAATACGATGTGATGAACCTGCCTAACTGTACGTCAAATGTAAGCTGGCTCAGCAGCTGTAGTCAAATTGGTAGAGTAGAGCGCCAGAGTGAGATGAGGATTAAATTGAAAAGTAAATATTTCTTCGCTCGCTCAATTTTTCTGTTTTCTAAATGTCCAAATGAGGATTTTTTTCTATATTGAAATACACATAGGTAGGTATGTGGTGAGAGCAGGTTGCTGGCCAATCGGTAGACATTAATCTACGTCAATGTCTTGGTCACTAATATTGGCAGTGAGAAAATATGAACAAGGCTGATTCATCAACAACCAATCACAGCAGACTTAAACGTGAGCAAATATGATTCGCAGGGTAGATGGCTCCACTTTCCGAGAAATCTCGAAAACAACCAATCAGAAGACTGCGTTTGTCTGCTTAACCTCCGAGAAACAACCAATCAGAAGACTGCGTTTGTCTGCTTAACCTCCGAGAAACAACCAATCAGAAGACTGCGTTCGTCTACTTGAATAAGCTATGATAATGTACATGAAATAATATACATAAATACGTGCTGATTTCCGTAATAAAACGATCCGTTGCCTGGCCCTTGTCTTCTGTTGTTACAGGTATAATTAATTAGTGCACAGAAACAATAATAATTTCTTTAAAACACTTTCCAAGCAATATATGATTTAAACTACTGAGGATAAAACAACAATAATAATAATAACAATAACACCAACAATAAGATGAAAAAGAAATACTTACGAAATATTAATGAAGATGAAAATATTCGTACCATAACTGTTCTTTTCAAATGATACTGAACAAAATACATATTTTCATTGCCAAGAAATCGATTAAAAATATTCTCTAATGTTACACCAGCTGAAATAAACTCTGTTGTAGGCGCCATAATACAAAATACGAATAGACCAAATAGTAGAGAGTAGAGAATATCGAATGAATCAAACGATGAACTAGTAAAAAGTGTGTTCATCGATGAGAGGATACTGGCACCACGACTACCACTGACAATGTCCATTTTATTGGCTGTCTATCACGTATTATATCCGGATAAGCGCTGAAGATTAGATGGACTACCACACTATTTTTTCCGAGGTTAAATACACACTTGACACATTGTGTTAATTGCACATTGAAGAATAGCGCTGTCGAACACGTGTCCTCAATTTCTTTCTGAAATTGTAAATAAATTATTGTAATCGTACTCCTAATTTTCAAAATTTTTAGACAACACTTGACATTTTTGTTATAAAACAATCTTTAATATTTTTGTAATTTATCCACTTCAACTCTACCCCTTATAACTTTTATCACATATACGTACATTGACTGAGCAATTATTTAGTGCCACTTAATAACCTTTTTCTGTAATATAAATACGACTGTACAGCTTGAAAATGGTCGTTGAAAAGAAATTCTTCGTTGAACAAAAACTGTGTTTTTACTTATAAATAAATTATTATTTTAAGTGTTGGTTTGTAGGGATTTGATTGGTTTCAGGATTTCATCATGAGCTGACATTAGTTGGAGAACCATTGGAAAACAAACCGGAAGTACTGGACAGCTGTTTCGTCCTAGTTTGGGACTCTTCATCAGTACGCACCCACCGGGATTCGAAACCAGGACTTTTCGGTTACAAGGTCAGCAAGGTCGTAGGCCATTAAGCCACTGTCACCCGACCCAATAGTCCTTGAATTCTAACTTCTGCCAATTCATGCACGACATAGCGCGACCCCTAGCCAATGTCTTTGGCCAGTATTTGTCCTCACACCCGATCCCCTGCACCCTACTGGTCACGACTTCCCACTGGAACCAGGTAATTACCTACCTAAATAGGGCCAGTCGCCAGTGAGCATCTCATTGGTATTTAAGTGTTGTTATTATTATTTTGTTTTTAAATGATTGCATAAAAGCTTTTTATTTCAAAACTTCATGCAATTCTTCCCCCATTAATAAACTTGAAAAAAAGCAAGAACAAAACAAAAAGGGTACCAGGATAAGATAATATGATGAGCTCATCTTTTATTATTATTATTTCGAGGATTCTTCTCAACTGGTTACAACCTAAACGATAAAAGAAACTTATGAAATGTTTCCGGAAGGACGGTGAACAGTGGTGGGCGACAAAGGCGAAAGAGATGGAAAAAGCATCGGCGATAGGCAACTCTTTAGACTCATCAGGGAAACGGGTGGGAGAAGGCAAATCATAAGTGAGACTATTTCTGAGAAAAATGGCTCCTTAATTAGCTCTCAGGATAGATGTCTTGAACGCTGGAAAGAACACTTTGAGGAACAATTTAACTTGCCTACAGCCACACTGAACCTCCCCGCCATCCACCACGTACCCGAATGGGATATAGACACTGGTCCGCCGTCTGTAAGTGAGGTCACAAAAGCTATCTGTAATTTGAAACGAGGCAAAGCGGCAGGACCCGACGGAATTATTCCGGAGGTGTTTAAATATGGGGGTGACATACTAGTTTGTAGATTAACTGAGGTACTAGGCAAAGTCTGGGAATCAGAGACAGTGCCATCAGACTGGGGTAAGTCACTCATTATACCGATATTCAAGAAGGGAAACAAGTCCTCGTGTGATAATCATAGGGGGATCAGCCTAACGAACATAGTTTCTAAAATCCTAGGCTCAGTAATCATGCATAGACTAAGCAGAACTCGGGAGGAACAAACGAGGGAAAATCAAGCAGGCTTTAGACCAGGTAGAGGGTGCATAGATCATATCTTCACTCTCCGACAGATTCTAGAACATAGACACACTTTTCGGCGTCCAACAATTGCCATATTTCTCGACTTGAAGGTGGCCTTCGACTCCGTGGATCGAAAGGTACTATGGCAATGTTTGACTGTGAAGGTAGTGCCAAGAAAGTACTCTATTCAAACTCACGTAGTCGTGTAAGGGCTTATAGGGAATTGTCATCTGAATTGATAACAACCTGTGGTGTCCGACAGGGATGTCCACTTTCCCCATTTCTGTCTAACTTCATCATAGATATGCTGATGGAAGTATCCTTAACTGAACGTAACGACCTAGGAATCGACTTGCCACCAGGGAATAGTCTTATGGACTTAGAATATGTAGATGACATAGTCCTGTTACGGGAGGATGCTGACAAAATTCAGAGTCTTCTGAACACCTTGACCAGCAATCTTCGTATGTTTCGCATGCGATTCGCCCCTGCAAAATGTAAGATGCTGCTACAGGACTGGACCACGTCAACTCCTAACTTAGTGATAGGGAGTGAAGTGATAGAACATGTTGACCACTTCACCTATTTGGGAAGTTGTATCACCACCTACGGACTGATTCGCAACGAAATCTCACCACGGATCCAAAAAGCTCGAGCTGCTTTCGCTGACTTACACCATCTCTGGCGTACGCGTGACATCCGGCTATCAACCAACGGCCGTGTGTACTGCTCAGCACTTCGCTCCGTCCTTCTCTATGGCTCTAAAACGTGGCCAATACGAGTTGAAGACATGAAAAGGTTGACTGATTTTGATCATAGATGTCTGCGATCTCTTTCTCACGTTAGGTGGTGGTATAATAAGGTAGGTAATGTTGACGTTAGGCGTAGAGTGTTGAGCAAAGAGGGAAAATCAATCGACGAGGCTATAAAGTTACATAGACTAAGATGGCTAGGTCACGTGCTTCGCATGCCTAACTATCGCCTCCCCCCGACGGGCATTACTAGCTGATATAGGTGCAGGTTGAAAAAGAGCCAGTGGTGGCCAAACAAAAACATGTCATCAATCCTTGAAATCCTTGACAATTAAACTGAGTCAGGTAGGGAGATGCAGACTCGGGTTGGGACCCTCGGGACTCTAGGAATCAATGGCTGGAGACAATAGATGACATGGCTCAAAATCGTTGTCAGCGCAGATGTATTCAGTCTCTGTAATCTTTCATATTCCTTTCTACCAATACCAATTCTGTTTCGCTCGTATACCTGTCAAACTCTATTAATTCTCTCCATTCATCTTCTTGCCTACTTTTGTGTGCTATTTGGAAGGTGGCAACTGGAACTGTTGGACTTCAGTGCCAAGTTCTATGTTGAATCCATACAGACCAGGCAGACAGAACGATAAAAAATATATGAATTACATTAAAGATTTGAACATACTTTTCCACGATCATAAGGAGTAATTGGTAGGAATTAAAAGTAACAATACTCTGGAATGATTTAATTAATTAAGAGTTACAAACACACTGACTATTTATAGAATAATTAGACAATTAGGCTTGGAAACAAAAAACAGAGTTGCGTATATATGTGTGTGCATAGAAACGAGGTTTAGGTAGAAAGAGCATAACAAAAAAAGTAGATTACGTAACGAAAGAAAACATCTTATCTAATAGCCAATAGAAAAAAGGAAAGAAAAGAAACAAGGTAGGGTGAGTCATGTTTAGATGAGAGAGTAGAGTTTTCTAAACATGAAAAAGGTGACTCATGAAAGTTGTACATTTTTTTGTTATCACCAGGGCAGTGCAAGATTCACCACTGTCTCTTTCTGCGTACACAGATTTGCTTTAAGTCGTTTAATGGCGATTGCTTCAGCAAAGCGTAGCAAGCTATTTTTCTTTTGCTTGTTGATTGTTTTGAACGACTTCAGGTTGTCTACAATATGACCAGTGTCCAATAGATGACGAGCAATCGCACTGTTTAATGCTTGTGGACCTTTCAGTCTCAAGTTCTTTGGTATGTGTTCATAAATGCGGACACTAACCCTTCTCTCTTTTCTTCCAATGTGCTTTGGCACGTACATGTAAATAGGTAGACACAGTTGGAGATAACATGAGGTGGGTATTTGTTCACTTTTGATTGTCTCAAACAACTAGTTGTTTGATAAACACATACAAGCTTGGCGGCTGGATATGTTCTTTTCAAGGCAGCGTTCAGTCTGCATCTTATTCTACTGGCAGTATCATCACCTTTGAATGCAAGCTGCAGAAAGATAGGCTTTTTATCTACTGTGCTGCTTTTCACTTTTTCAACATGACGTCTCCCATACTTGTCGATGAACTTTTGTGGGTAACCGTTGTCGCGTAGACATTTCTCCACAATGGATAGCTTTTCCTCAATCTTTTCTTTTGAACATAGCCTCCTTACATGATCAAACAATGTTCTCACTAATCCCTTTTTGTAACTTACAGGGCAGAAGCTTTTGAAGTTAAAGATAAACCGCCCTCGAGGTCTCTTTGCGTTTATATATATATATATATATATATTGTGATTTTGCCGTCTTTATCTCGTTGGATAGCCAGGTCAAGAAAATGGAAATTCTCCTCTTTTTCAGGTTGTAACCAGTTGAGAAGAATCCTCGAAATAATAAAAGATGTGCTCTTTTTTGATGTGGTTATGTTCTCTGAGCTGGATAGTTAATTTGGGAAGCTTTCATCGCCTTACTTTCATTGCAATGAAAGCTTCCCAAATTAAATCTCCAGCTCAGAGAACGCAACCACATCAAAATCATCCACCTGAGCTACAAATCTTCTCAATCATATCTAAAAGATGAGTTCATATTATCCTGGTACAAATGTTGTTCTTGCTTTGTTCAAATTTTTTCAGTTAATTAATTAATTAATTGATATAATTAATTTCAAAAATACTAAAATATTACAGAAATGATTCATATGAACTGTGATCAAGATTTGACCGGATAGTTGCAAAATAATTGAGCGCTGAGTGGGAAATAGACATTTGTAGAAAATTATATTTGTATGAATCTCAGCGAAATTGAAATGATTAGTTCCAACGTTTTCAGTGTTCGGCAATCTCGTCCGAACTTCTTCAGGAAAATTAATCGAAACTAACATAACAGAGGTTCATATATATAAAAGGAACATTTCTTGTTTTTAAAAACTTTGTCCAGTCATGAATCATGCAACAGGCATCAATATGTATAATAAACAAAATTTTATTAACAGTGGTCAAAATTTGACCTCATACTTCAAAATTAGTCTACTTTTGTTAGAATCTATGTGTATATGCAGTATACAAT